CTCCTCCACCTCCTTTTTTTCTGCACATCACTCATTTTCTTCTTCATCATTTTTGATTTTCTTCCCCCTCCTCTTCCTCTTCCTCTTCCTCCTCCTCTTCTCCTCTATAATCTTCATGATCACCGCACTATACCTTCCTCTCCGTTCTCCCTCTCTTCCAACACACCCTTTTCCTCCACCTCTGTATCTTTTCTCCACCCACTTCCCTCCGTGTATCTATCTTCTTTTTTTACCTTACCCATTTATATGAGATTGACGCCATCTGATTAGTAGAAAAAAGTACGTATCATAGTGTCCAATAAATAGTGTATTACGTGCATACTTAGTAAGACAAGTAACTGTTACAGATAGAGATTCAAGAATTAAAGATGTAAGCCATTGATTTGAGAGACATGATGATTTTAGAAATAATGGTGGTGATGAGTAATGATGTGGGATTGAGTTTATTAAATAATGTTATCGTTAGTCCTGTCTTCCTCTGCTCCAATTTGTCACGAGGGATGTGGGCACCCTCTATCCCGTTCTCTACTGATACAATCTATCTCCTTCTTCCAGACTAGGCAGTAAGCTGGACATGAGCCTGTATGGGCGCACAAGAAGACAAGTCCGCGGTCAGCTGTTCACCTGCCAACCGCCCCTGGCCGAGACCCTCCTCCTTGTCCGGACCATGTGCCTGGACATGTCAGAAGTGTCCATGGCCCAGCTCGACCCAGAGGTCAGTGGACACATAAATCAATCGGCGTCAACGTAATAATAATAATAATAATAATGATGATAATAATAATAATAATAATAATAATAACAATTTTAAATAGAAATAATAATAATATAATAGATGGACAGATGGCATAATTTGTGTCGCGCAAATCCCGGCTCAAATGCAAGCTCCATGCGCTTCACAATCTATACTATTACCCCAGCAGATCTGTGAGCATTCTGAAACGACCTCAACTCCCTTGGTAGCATACAGTGCGTACTGACAAGATCATCTCGCTGTCTATGGCCGGGTACCCATTCCCACCTACGACCAGAGCCAGATATACTTGTTTTCCGGGCCATAATATTCGGGCCTGAGGGCCTTGAATTTGTCACCTGTGATCTATTTTGTGTTAGTGGGGAATTACATTTCAAAACAACGACAAAAAACAAAACAACAGCAAACAAATAAACAGACAGCAACTAACAATCAAAAGCAAAGAAAGACAAAATGAATTTTGCCAAAGCAGTGCTTTGGCGCTCATATGACCTTATGCAATTGCGAGCGCCGTAAAACATCTACTAAAACAAACAAAAAGCAATGATTGTCACGTCGTGTGTCCGTTCTCTACAGCTGACCTACACACTGGGAGAGTTCATGGACGACCAGGAGCACTACACGCGAGACGCCTACTCCAAGCTGGAGCGCATCTACGTCATCGTGATGCACCTGACGTCACGCACGTGCTGGGATGACGTAATCGAGGCGGGCCTGGCGGCGGAGAGTGACGTCAGGAGGAAGTCGGCGCCAAAGAGGATCAACGAGCTGAGGAAGATGCAGAGGATGAGGCAGGGGTGAGCGGGGTGGAAGTGGGGGTGGAGTCGACTGGTTGGATGGGTGGGTGGGACAAGTTTTGAAGTTGATGGAACGAGAAGGGAGGGGTAGAAGCGGGCTGAGAGGGAGGTGTTTGGAGAATAGGCACTGAAGAATGAGGGTGGAGAGAAACAGGCAAGAGAGAGAGAGAGAGAAAATAAGAAAGGATATTGGGGGGGGGGGGGAGGGGGCGGATGCGGAGAAGGATTACAGATAGAATAAAGGACAGACAAGAGCAGAGTAGTTTGGGGAGGAAAGGGTGGAAAAAAACAAATAGAAATTTAGAAAACAGTAATACAATTTACAAATAGTTACACATGAAAATAATTAACAAAATGTAAACAAATAAATGAATAGTACAGGTATTAATTTAAAGTGACCATGTAAAAGTTAAACGAAACGAAAACAGCAGAAGCACCCTCAATTTAACGTCCTTTACACCAAATTATTAGCGTCAGGCTAAAAAGGAAGAGGACAGCCACGCAGAAGGTGGATCGCGGGTGTCAAGGAAACCCTAAGAAAACAACATCACACCTGAATGAGCTGCGGAGCTGGCCTATCATAGAAAACTGCGTCTCCCCTCGACGCTTAACGGCAACAGAGGATGAAAAAGTAAAAGTAAGTAAGTATTAGCGTCAAAACGACATTAATTTTTATATTAATTCGTATCTGTCTTCTCTGTCACCCAGAACCGGCCCCGGAGGTCTGGGAAGTCCCCGCCCCTATACAGATGACATCCGCATGGGCAGGTGGTGTGATTGGCCGGATCCTCGGTTACGTCACGAGAAGGGGGCGGAGCGAGCGGAGAGGTGTGGCCGTCTGTGTCGCTTCCTCTTCCTCGTGGATTGTTTGGTCCGGGACGCCCTTCACGCTGTGTTGTCCAACTCTCTTCAGGTGATGATTACTATTGGTCTCTTTTAAGCACAAGGGGGCTATCCCTAACTGGTCTCTTTTAAGCACAAGGGGGCCCTCCCTATTTGATTACTTGATTACTTGATCCTGGGAACAACATTGTAGCCCTCCGGGCATTACCATACGTGCTCCCAGCTCCAATATCCACCTCAGAGTCCTTCTGCTGATCGTTCCGGCTATCCCTACAAATGCTGTTTTGAGAAAATTGAAGGTAAAGTTTTTGCCCCTTGTTCGGTTTCTTTAAAAGACAAGGAGAATTTTCTCTGTAACCAAACAAATATACACACCAATGAAACCTAACGTCTCCTATAGGTACGGAAAGTTTTGGATTCTATGAGTATAGAAGAAGGCTGAGGAGTGGGGACATGGGGCATGTACTGTACTATGCACAGGCTTTACACTTGATAAGGTCTGTGGCAGGAGGGTACGTTGAAGGCAAGGTCAAATGCAAGGTTACACCTGGGGTCAATGCGCGACCACAGTGCTTTCTTGTCATATCTCTATTTTTATAACAAGTGAAAATGTGACATCTTCTTAAGCACACTTTTTGTTATGAACTGTTTTCACTGTTTTTAAAAATGGAGACACGACAAGAAAGCACTGGAGTCGGAAATAGCTGATCGGAGGTGGGATCTGGTGCTAAGTCAGAATCGAGGTCAGGTGTAGGTTGAGGCTTAGGTTATGGAATAATCTATATATCCTTGGCTGGTAACAAGGAAATGCTTTTTTCTCTGAACTTTTTTTGGGGTCTGCTTTCAGCGTGCTGAAAAGTACACCCAGCTGCAGATATCCACTTTTCCACCAGTTGACCAAATCAGAGGAATGGTCAGGGCTTACATCAATGACTTTGACCTCCCGGTAGGAGAGGACGAGATTGATGATGGCGATGGTAATGATGATGACGATGGCGATGATGATAATGATAGACGTGGTGGTGGTGGTGGTGGTGGTACTGCCAATAGAGATGGTGGTTCAAACGACAATGAAGAAAATCGCAGACTAAATGAACAAGGGGAAGGAGGTGGTGGAGGAGGAGGAGGAGGAGGTGGCAGACTGACTCGCTCTCAGGGAGGAGGGCCTGGATCACTTCAGATGGCACAACAAGGTGCAGCCAGGACCCAGGGAGTCGCGGTTTCCAACCCCGCCTCAGATGCGCTCACTTCGACGTCGTCGCTGCTTTTTGCGCTTTTAGACGATGACACGAGGTATGTACTTGCTTTTGTTTCATTGTTATTTTCTCTGCATTGTTCTTCTCTAAAGCCATCATCATCATCATCATCATCATCATCATCATCATCATCATCATCATCATCATCATCATCATCATCATCATCATCTCGAACTTTTTAAAAAGCGGCACTTAATGTGTAGCAACCAGAATGTTCACTGAACCAGATCTATATGATGGCCAAAAATGCATCTGAAAAATAACACGAGACAAATCGAAGTAATTCCGCAACACAATGAAATGCGCCATTTCTATTCTGCTTGATAGCTTTCAGTTTGAGCTTCAACCCGTGTTCCATCACCCCCCCCCCATCCCAAAGCCCACTGAAAATTGAAGCAAAAAACGAACATTTCAGCCTACAAAACGAAATCAGCTGTTTGAGGCATTACGTGGACAACTCCAAATTGTCTTCCTCCTACTCTCCCCCTCTTTTTGCTCTCTCTCTCTCTCTCTCTCTCTCTCTCTCTCTCTCTCTCTCTCTCTCTCTCTCTCTCTCTCTCTTTCTCTCTCTCTCTCTCTCTGTCTCTCTCTCTCTCTCTCTCACACACACACACCCACAAAAAACAGACAACACCCTCCCTTCCGCAATAACAAAGAAGAAATACACACATTTGCCTGTACACACGTAACTCCCTGTGCGCAAGCACACACGCACACACACACACACACACACACACACACACACACACACACACACACACACACACACACACACACACACACATACACACATATGCAGACAGGCAGCCCTCCATCCACACAAACAAACGAACAAACAAACAAACAGACATTATATACCACCGTACTTTCTCTCTAATTCATCCGCAAAACAAAGCTCTCCCAGCCAATGGGCGTCGGCCGACATGAGTTCAAGCTCCGCCCACCAGGCTTTTCCCACAGCATCACGTGACAGACACAGCCAATCCACGCTTCTCGACGTGGCCCACTTCCCCGAGGAGCCCGACCTCACTGACACCACCGACACACTAGACTCGACCACGGTGACGTCATCCAGTGAGGAAGACTCCCAGCAGGTGACGTCAGGAGAAGGGCGGCAACAGTCTCGACCTGGAGCCAGATTCCTCACTTTAGACGACCTTTTGTTTATGGGACCGTCCTTCCCGGACCCTTCAGAGGCAGTGGGTCATTCTGTCATTCTGGGTGGCGGGCAACTGCTCCACCAGCATCCTCCAGTCAGAGGTGAGAGTTCACAACACCCGGCGGCGGACATGGACGCGGATTGTGACGTCATCACTGTCATCGAGAGGGGTCAAGGTCAAAGTCAAGGTCAATGTGGTAGCAATGGCGTCCCCATGCCGTCCGATCTGAGCATTACGTCTGATGAGCCCTGCAGCAGCAGTACCGTCGTGGTGACGATGACGCGTCAGGATAGGTCACTTCCTGCAAGCAGTGTGGACGCCGTCAGTCATACGTCATCGACGTCCACTCTTACTCCGCACTCGGGCCAGGTGGTTACGTCATCATCGATACCAGCAGGACCAGGAGGCTTGGTGGCTGGACGTGAGGGGAAGGTCGATAGGCGGGACGTGTCGACTAGACAGGATGATGCCAGGATAAAGGTAGTCGTAACTACTGAAAACAGCTGCTCTCGACCCGAGAATGTTGGTCATGGCGTCACACTAGGGACTCGAAGCGCTCCTAGGGGCAAGGACGAAAAGACAGAGGAAGTTAATGGGAACTATGGAGAACAGAAGATAAAGACGGAAAGGAATGGAGAAAAGAAAAGGGAGAAGAAGTTGGAGGAGAAGAAGAAAGAAAATCAAAAAGAGATAAAGACAGAGGCGGAAGATGAGAAAGAGAAGAAAACATTAGAGGAGAATGAGGCCACTGCGCTCCCAGGTATGTCAATTTTACACGTAGGGTCATCCAGTGAGCTACTCAGGAGTGCTGCAAGAAGCCGAGACAATATACGGGCGCACTCCACCCATATAGACGACAGTTACGCGGGATCAGAAGCGATGCAAAACTCCAGCACGGGAGAGAACGAGCAGAGCGAACACAAAGAATCGCCCGGAGTGATATCAGTCACAGGCAACACAGTACTGTCATCTCCAGCATCTGCTGGCCAGTCTCCCAACTCACTAGAAGCGGGTTTGAATCTCTCTCTCGGCCGCTTGTCCACGACCAGTTCCAGCTGCACCGTCCTGGAGACCCGCCTCTCAGAAGTGTTCGAGAACCTTCTCAAACAGGTCGTCGAACCGGTAGCGCGTCATACTCCGGGCCCGGCAGCAGGGCAAAAGTTGGAATCCCTGGAGTTCCCTGTCCTAGACGGCACGACGTGGCGTCCCGAGGACACACCAGGCTGTCTCAGCGTCCTAATGACGCGGCACGGGAGTCCAGTGGACGTACCGCGGGAGATGGCCAGCCCAGGTGGTGGGCACAGACGTGACCACCACGTCAGACAAAGTCCGGAGAACGTGACGTCACAGAGGGAACCAGCGGAAGGAGGAGACGATGGGGAGTTTTCTTCTGAGGAGCTCACCGTACTTGAGAACAAGCTTCTCCATCCCAATACAGCAACAGTTTCTGCCACTTCAGAAATCACCACAGTTGCCTCCTCGGAAGTTGACACTAGAACTTTTGAAGTCCACCTTAAAAATGTAAAGGGGACGGCTTCTACCTCAGAGCTCAGTAAACCTTCCTCCAAAACGAAGGCTCAAAACTCACAGGATGATATTCTACCAGTAAAAGAGAGCGAAATGCTAAAAGATAAATCCTTAAACTTTGTGGAGAAGCAGAATCAAACTCAGGTCGCCCGCATGAGAGACACAACCACCACGACTACAAACAACGCCACTGTTTACCACACTTCTGAAACCGCCTCCACAGACAATGAGTACAGCATAATGGCCCGGGGATATGTGGTCAACTCTAACTTGAAGCTGCCTAACTTCAAGTCAAACGCCCTGGTAGGTATCTCGCGTGGCGTTACTCAGGGTCCCATGTGTCAGGTGAGGCTAATTCTCCTTCTTCTCTCTTTTATTCTAACACAAAATCATATCAGACCATATATGGTCAATTTTAAGAACAAGCGGGCTAACCCAGATTTCGGGGGTTTCAAGAAACCTTGACATACACCAAAAGTGGGCATTGTCTTACCTAAAACAACAGTTTGGTTTCATTAGTGAGTATATTTGTTTGGTTATAGAAAAAAAACTCTCCTTGTTTTTTTAAAAAAGAAACTGAACAAGGGGCAAAAACTTTACCTTCGATTTTCTCAAAACAGCATTTTGTCGGGATAGCCCCCTTGTGCTTAAAAGCGACCATATTAAAGTTATTAAACCTCAGACCATACACTCTGAAGTAATTCTGGTTCTTTATATTGATCAAATAATTTGACTCAATTTGGAGACAGATAAAGGGCAAGAGGGAAAAGGTGCCACGCGAACTCATCTATCGCAAGACGAGTGATTCGCCCTTCATCTTGGCGTCCTTTATCGAAACCACTATTAAACACCTATGTTTATGACGTAACATCTTAGCGACTACCAAACTGAAAGTTCTGAAATGCTATGTATGGTCAACCCTTCTATGCTGGACAATCACTAAAAAACAGTGAAAATAAAATAGAAACAACAGAAATGTCGTTTCTTAGGAGACTGCTAAGAGTATTGTTGAAGGAAAATAAATCAAATGAGGTAGTGCTTGAGGAAGCCTACGTGGAACGCTCTCAGTTAAAAACAATCAGGAAACGATGAATGCCGTTTTTGGGACACCTGAATAGACATAAGGGTATTGAACATCTAGCTCTCACTGGCAAAATTGAAGGCCAGCGAGGCAGGGGCAGGCCCAGGGCAACTTACTTGGGGAACCTAAACATTTACCAAAAGAAAACAAATAAATAAATAAGACCCCGAAACTTCCACAGAGTGTCCCAGACAACTCGGCCGAGTACCCCGTAACCTCCTGTCTCAGCGACCACTCCCAGCTGAATGTAGCCTTAGAGCGCCTGCACAACTCCGTGGACAGCTTTTTCGACCGCGGGTCTCCAGGGTTAGAAGCGGGTTCGCCTGCCGCCGCTGGTCGGGGAGCTACAATGGAGAGTGGGGGAGTCTCCCCTTCTGGTGAGGCCAGCGAGGAGGACACGGACTCACCGACACACGACATCTCCGAGGTCAAGGACATGTCCAGCAGTGAGTTTTTCTTTATTCTGTTTCATAATAATACAGGTATATTTCATGCCCATTGTTCATTGTTCATTGTTTCAGGAAGCAACATCCCTGCACTCAGGACATGTCCATTGATGGCTCCGTTGCACTCTCTCTAAAATGTCGCTGAGGGTCTTTCCACTGATTGTGCCAGTGCATATCTTTTGATTTGAATTTCCAAGACAACTCGGCCGAGTTCCCTGCCTCCTGTCTCAGCGAAACCTAAGCAAATGATATAATATGTAGCAGATACAAATGAACAAGAAAAGTGCTTTAGAATATAATATGAGCATGAGATGGGTCCATGAGTAAAATAATACCCTTCTTTTTC